GGTCTGAGTGCTGACGGATCTTCTGAACTCGTACAGCACGCGGCTGAGGGCGGTGATGGACGCTGAGATCATGTGAGGGGTGCTGCCGACGAGACCGGCACTGACCATGGTGAGAAACTCCTCAACGTTGGCTTTACCGGCGGGTGCGTCTGCGGGCATGTGAGGAATCTTGCTGTTATCGATAGGGGCGTCGTTGGCAGATTCCATGCGGTGACCGATCTGCACCAGGAGGTCGTACGCAGCCTCTCTGGCGCGCTCGTTGTTCTCCTTGCAGCAAATGACGACTTCGCTAAGGATGGAGGGAATGAAGTGGAGTGAGGTATCGGGGATGAAAGGCAGCAGGGCAGAGAGAGCGGCAAGGCGTTCTCTGCGAGCGGGGGCGGAAACCTTTTCGGCGCTCGACAGGAACATCTGCTGCAGCTCGTCATTGCGTGCAGCGAGGGCCTGCTTGCCGGTTTCTGACTCGGTAAGGCGGGGAACCAGCTTGTAAGCCTTCTTCTGCAACTGAGGCTCGTTATCCCTGAAGATGATAACATTAGCAATTTCGAACAGAGCCGTGTAGCTTTCGCGAGGCAGGTAGAGTGCAATGCAGATGATCAGATCCATCAAGGTGTTGCTAGTTGAGGGCATAGCATTCTGCTTGGGTTGTTGTTTGGGCTTCTCCTGGTCGGCAGTCTGCTGCAGTTCCGCTGCGAGCATCTTGCTGACCCGGTCAAAGGTATCGATGAGCTCCTGCTTGGGGGTGACGCTGAGGAAAGCATTGATGGTGAGGAGGATAGGTCCTCTTGACTGAGGAAGGGTCTGGGTGTAGACGTTGAAGAGAACGGCGAGCATGTTTCCGGCAAAGCTACCCAAGTGCTCGAGGTTCTTCCTCGCCGTAGCCCTGGAGATGCGGCTTTGAAGAACGAGATCTTCCTCGTCGTCATCCTCGATGGTCGCAATAGCCTGGTTGGATTCGATGAGAATCTTGAGCGCACGGCAGACCTCCAGACGCAACTCGACCTGCTTGTACAGGATGTTTGCCAGGAGCTCGGCGAATGACTGATCGAAAGCGTCGGTAACGTCGAGCGGGAGATCGCAGTAACCGGGCAAGGTAGCCCAAATTTGCTGTACAAGGGTCTCGAAGATCTTGACTTCCAAAGTCTTCTCGGCCTTGCCGTGATCAAGCACCTTTTGGAACATGAGCTCACTGAGTGGGACCATCTCTTGACGGAAGTGCGCGAGGTTGGTGTTGCTGAGGTAGTCACGCAGGATAGGGAACATCCAGGCGCGGCCCTGTTGACCCTTGGCGGGCTTCGCGATGTTCAGGGGCAAGATGGACAGAACAGCCTCGGGGCCCATGGCGCGGATGGCCTTGCCAATGACTTCGTCGGCCTCCTTCTTGCCTTGGAAAGAGTCACTGCCACGGAGTTCTCCAACAGCCTTGGTGATGTTAAGCATCATGGGGTTTGCCCGCCATCTCAAAGAGTCGAACATGGCTCCAAAGACGTTGAAACTCTCCATCCAGGCTTGTTGGTACTTGAGGCTGAGCAGAGACTCGGCAATCTTGGCAATCTTGTCCAAAGTCTTCTCGTCATAAACTGATGGCTCCAGAATGACCGGCTGCGGAACACAGTTGGCCATAAATGAGACCAAGCACTCGGAAGCGGAAATCCGAATGTTGTGTGCGGGGGACTCGAGGTACTGTGCGACCATTGAGAAAATTTCGGGCAGGTTCTGGAAAACTTCATCGGGGTCGAGTTGTGCAGAGACATCGTAACCCCTCGAGAGGATTGCCAGCCATGGCGGAATAAGTTGCGTGTCGTTTGCGGCAGGGCGCAGCTCCGAGATGATTTCCATCAGTCGTGGGAGCTTGGACGAAGCGACGTCGTCGGCCATGCCCTCGAAAATCATTTCAAAAATCTCAAAAGTCGCCATCGTCATGTACTCGTTGCCGGATCTTGAGATTCCGAGGAGGAGGTCGCACAGAGCCTCGATCTTCTTGCTGGGCCAACCACCACTTGCAGAGGCAATGGTCTTGATGAGCTGGAGAGCGTGGATCAGAGCGGGATCGTGGGCAGACTCGGCTCCTTTCTGCTTCTTTGCCGCCGCGGCCTTTCCAGCAATATCCTCGAGGTTAGCGAGAGCGGTGTGAGCGCACATATCCGCAGCCGGGTGATCGAGTGAGGGGCTCGGGGGCGGGTTCTTGAGGACGTTTCGGAGCGCTTCCTGAGCCCTCTTGCGGATTTTCGGGCGCTGCTCGAGAGCGAGGTTGAGCAGACCGGCGACGGCTCTGCGCGGGCCGATCTGGGTCACGCCCAGCTCCCAAGCACCCGCATCTTGTGCGAGAAGAAGAGACTCGAGGCATCCGATAGACGAGCGAAGGAGGAGGGCTTCGGCATCTTGTTGCAGGAGAACGGGTGCGAGCGAGGTGAGGATCTGGGTGAACTTGGCGCGAAGGATAGGTTGAGGCGCAAACGGGGTGACGATATCGAGAAGGTAAACCACGGAGGTCGTCGTGTCGGAGCTGATGTTGCCGCTCTCTACAGCTTGGGTGAGGAGACCGAGAAGGGCAGCGAAGTAGCCAGTCGGTGTGGGCTGAGCGTTTTGCTCCTTCAGTGTTGTGTCGACCGCCTCGAGGACTACGGCAGTCTTAAACCATGTTAGTAAGGATAACAGCCGAACTGAGAACATTCGATAAAGCTTACCCTCTTTTGACTTTGAAGACCCGGGGAGCGGATCTTGTCCAGCTTCTCGGCAAGAGTTGGAGTCGACATCGTGCTTGCCGTATTCCAATTCCGTCGGGGACCAACTGTGGAAGAGACGATGCAAGTCAAAGCCGGTGTGGTCGAAGATCCCGTCCTCTCAGTGTCCCAAATTTTTCCTGGCGCAAAAAAATCCTTATCGAACCACCCCGCCCGCGATAAGACTCGCTTAACAAGTGTACGTACTGTGTCGGAAGACAGCTTTGGCCAAAAGTTTGTACGTCTCGCACGGTCCTCTAACGGTGGTGGATTCCAACGTTGAAATCCCCCACAATCGCCCTCAGCAGGTTGCGAGCTCAGGAATGGCAATTGCAGTCTCCATGGATCATGAGTAATTCGTTTCTCATGTTTTCAATAACCGTATTTCAAATTGGATGTATCTAGGTTCTCTCCAATAGAGAGTCCTTGATATAAGCTACACAACTGACACATACTTACGCGCGTACAACAGGATGGGACTATTGCGAAAGTTCTCACCAGTTACCTAGGCGTCCCTCGGTTGGTAGAGATTCCGTCGGCCTTTATAGCTACTATAACCGTACTTGCTACCTTGGGTATTCGTATACTCTTGTACTTTCGGATTCTTTACTAGGGGTCCACAAATCAGAACGCAATCATCTTGAAGACTCCTCCTTGTTTCCCGTTCCAAGGCTGTAGATGGGAGAGATTGATCGGGCATGGCTTCGTGTACGAAGTACGTAAGCGGCGAAGCCCGATTTACAAGACAAGAATTGCCCTCCTTCCCCGTGCCGGGTTCCCACCTCTCCTCCCACCGGCATTTCATATCTTCATCACGCCTATTTCGTATCCCGCCGGCCCTTTCAGTCATCCCGTTTGCAAACTTAATCAAGCGATTGTTTCCTCCCAATCTTGGACATTATCGTCGTACATCGTGACTCGTGAGGGAAGGCTTCTCATGGCCAGTTGCATACGATATAGGTGAGCTATCCGAGTTCCTACTTATTCACAACTGCTCGACCTGCCAAGCTTTCGGTTCTCAGTTCCAATGGCCTAGACGTTGATTCGGTTTACATGAAAGCGTAACTAACCAAACTAAGCCTTTTGACAAGTTCTAGTTTATGAATCTCACTGTTCGGGATTCGAAAGCCGGACCCATCTTTTGTCAATGTAGGCCAAAGTTAATTAAATATTTCTCGAATGTCTATCCACATCTGGCGGTTGAATGAGTCGTAGTTCGTGGCTTAACTTCCCTCGTGGGCCAGCCCGGCAATTATCTACCTGGCAGTCGTGATCTTCCCCTTACCTCAAGGGCCATGTGCCTTAAGTCCCCGGGACATTCGTATCATCGTATTCCGAGGACACCGACGGTAGGATGGTGTCCTCATAAAGCGTCGTTGCTGCACCCGCATGGTACTACACTTACCTGATAGACCTCAGTTCAATAATTCAGACATAACTCATCTCTACTGTCCTCTCGTTAAACCTCCTCAACTTACACCACAATGCAGTTCTCAACTCTCTTCGGAGCCGTAGCCCTCGTTGCCGGATTGGTCTCGGCCGCGCCTGCATCAGAGCAGCCCGCCGTCAAGCGCCAGAATTGGCAGCAGTGCCCAAAGGCAGGCGATCGGTGCACAAACATTTTGGGAGGAGTTGGCGGTTGCGTTTGCGGTCTCAAGCTTGACCCTAGATACAACTGCGTTTGCGTTTAAGTAGGTTTCTACACTTGCTCAATGTTTTTGATTACATACTGACTTTGTAGAAATATACCTCTTTCAGTGCCAATATTCACGGGCTACGGAATGAGTAGCAGTAGCACGGGGCATGGAAGGATGGTATAGCGTCTAAGCGAATGATTGTCTCATCGGTTGAGACTATAGAATAAAAGTCGGAAAGTGAAATGCAATGGTTTTGGACTAGTACAACGATTCGAGACAATGCCAATTCGATCCCTTCCTTTCCATCGTATCAAACTGTAGTGAGTGTCTTTCAGTAGGTTTCATTATACGAAGCGAGTTAAGTTTATCTTTGAACATGTTCATCGCGAAAAGAAACATCACGTTGAAATGTTGCTTTACAGTCGATACAATTAAGGGTCGTCGTTGGCGTCTCAAAAGGTTGTTGTCATATGAAGTTGTAGACGGGGGTTTGCAGACGGAGGTCACCTCCGTCTATGGCGTGATGGTACGCAACCCGCGAATCAGACGAACGTGGGGCTCAACATCGATACCTTCCTCATAACTCTTGTCTGCAGGCAACCCCTTTCCGCTCGAATCTTTCATCTTTTGCACATACATCATGGCTCGAGACCCAGATCGTCCAAACGTCGTCCTGATCCTAGCCGACAACCTCGGCTGGGGTGAATTAGGTTGTTACGGCGGTGGCGCCCTCCGCGGCGCCGCAACGCCCTGGATCGACAGGCTCGCGACGCAAGGTCTCCTGCTGCACAACTTCAACGTGGAGAGCGACTGCGTGCCAACCCGCTCCGCGCTGATGACGGGCCGGCACCCGATCCGGACCGGCTGCCGACAATCCGTCCCCGCGGGGTTCCCGCAGGGTCTGACTCCGTGGGAGCGGACGCTGGCTGAGTGTCTCAAGGAGAACGACTATGCTACTGCGCACCACGGGAAGTGGCATCTGGGAGATGTCCCAGGTCGGTATCCTTCGGACAGAGGCTTTGACGAGTGGTTTGGGATCCCGCGGACAACGGATGAGACGCAGTTCACCTCTGCGATTGGGTATACTCCTGAAGTGGCGGAGATACCGTACATCATGAAGGGAGTTGCTGGGCAAAAGTCAGAGAATGTGCGCGTCTACGACTTGGAGGCCAGGAGACTCATCGACGAGATGCTGGTGGAGAAATCTAAAGACTGGCTGTCTCGTCAAGTTGCGGCTGAACGGCCATTCTTCCTCTATCACCCTCTCGTCCACCTTCACTTCCCGACGCTGCCTCACAAGGACTTTGCGGGAACTACCAAACAAGGTGACTTTGCCGACTCCATGGCGGAGATGGATCACCGCGTAGGCCAAATCCTTGACCACATAGACTCCCTCGGAATTCGGGAAAATACAGTCGTCATCTTTGCCTCCGACAACGGTCCCGAGTTCAGGGAGCCGTACAGGGGCACGGCGGGGCCGTGGTCGGGGACATACCATACTGCCATGGAAGGCAGTCTGCGCGTGCCCTTCATCATACGGTGGCCGCGTCACGTTCCAGAAGGCGTCACGTCCAACGAGATCGTTCACGTAACGGACATTTTCACAACAATTTTGTCCGTCACCAAGTCTGGAGTTCCAGACGATCGCCCCATCGACGGCATCGATCAGACAATCTTCTTCAAGGACCCGGCCAGCGTCAGATCCGAGAGGCTGGGTTTCTTGTTTTACATCAAAGAAGAGCTGCGAGCGATCAAATGGAAGGACTGGAAGCTGCATCTCGTCTGGGAACCCAAAGTCAATCAGTCGTCGGGTCGGCTCGAGTCGCCTTACTTGTTTAACACCGTCAGGGACCCAAAGGAGGAATCGGACATTTTGTCGTTCAACACCTGGGTATTACAGCCAATGACCAAGTTGAGGACTGAGTTCCAGAGGAGCTTGGCAAATGATCCGGCGCCTCCTGACCCGTTGAAGGATTTTCTCTGCTCTAATATAGACGTAGCCATTCTCTGGTAGAGTACAGTAAGAATGCAATAGTCTTAGAGTCAGTCTCATAGCAAATGCTGTCTTATTTGGACTTGTCTCGTTTTTGGTCGAGCACCTTTAATCAATTTAGACTTTGTGATAGTTAGTTTCATAGCATTGGAGCACATCTTGCGTGTGCACGATCTTGGTGCGCTCCGAATTATATGACTGAAGTCCTATTTTGAAACAGCCATGGTCATGTTGATCATGATAGAGACTAATGATATCAGACTGGTTTGTCCCACACTCTGAAAGGTTCGGCCTATCGTAGTGGAAACACAACATATGCAACTAGATAACTATGGTCCTTGGCCGTAAGCAGGCTGAGCGATATGCGCAGCCAAAACCAGGACCAACTTCTCCAAACAGAGGGTAGAGTAAGCCTTGTGTGATGGGAAACAATTTTGCCACGAGGACACTGAGCCACTAGCAAAGTCACATACATCAAAGATACCAATACTCTCCAGCACCCACAAACCAAGCAGAAAATTTTGGAACCCTCTGTGTTCCTTCACCCCAACCTGTGCGGTCAAGGCAAAAAGAAAAAAGCATACTCCTTCACGACCAAGCGAGCAAACATTAGGCAGATACCTCGCGATGGCCTCAAAAACGACGTACGAGCCTCTGCTCGTAACACTCACCTTCACACCGGGCGGCTTCCAGCAGACCAAGATCCTCTCTATGGCACCGCAGACAACCCCCTTCACACCATCCAACGACCTCTGCTCTCCCGTCGACATTCGCTGCCTCGTGGGCAAGATGGAAGATCTCACGGGGGACGTTGAGTGTCTGCGAGACCAAGTCGTGGCCGAGACCACAGCCAGCCTGCCAACGCAATGCTTTCCCGAGAGTTACGCCGCAATCTGGCGACCATCCGGGAATACATTCAGTGAGAATCATGAAATTGTGAAAAAAGCACTGAAACAACGCTGACAAGACGACAAATTAGGCGACGTCGCAAGCGTAGCCTACCCAGGCACAGCCTGCATCTCCGGCTGGACGACAGCGTGCGAGACAACCCTGACCCTCGAGAGCGCGCAGACGTACACCCAGACGTGGTGCTGCCCGAGCTCGTACACCTGCCTCGTGCCCACGCCGGGCGGGACGCCCTACCGGGACTGCGTCAGTCTCCTGAGCACGAACACGGAGATCTGGATCAACAATATCGCGACGAGCGGCGGGCGGGAGTCGACGCTCTGGAGCTCGTGGAGGAAAATCTCCCTCACCGGTCTCCCCAGTGTTGCCGGGGGACCCCTCTCGGTCAAACACCCCGTCTTTCCGCTCTACGGTCGTGTTCCCTCCTCCCAGGCCTCTGGTGTTGCTGGAGGGGCAGGTCTTTCGGCTGGTGCTATTGCGGGGATCGCGGTTGGAGCGGTGGTGCTGGTTCTCTTGCTACTTGGTACCGGGTTACTCATATGCCTTCGGAAGAGGAAGCAAAAGAGGGCTGCGGCCGTCATTGCCGCGCAGAATGAGGGGAATACGGGCAATGAAGGATATGGGCAGAAAGGGTTTGGGTACGATGCGAAGCAAGAGTTGCCCGGTCACGGAACAGAGATGACGGAAGTCGACGCTGCCACGCCGCCTCCCGTTGAGCTTTCGGCTTATACAAGAGCTGCGGAAGTGGAGGGTAGCCGCCCTGCTGAACTGTCGTGATAGCATTCCCTAGGGAGTTTCTGCTTCTTTATACATACCTACATATGGATCAGTCCTTGAAATACATTTCCTCAACTTGCTTTGGATGGTTGGCTTGTAGCGTGTATTAGTTTGCCCCACCTCGCTAGACCGCATTGTCTGAATCCCACATCCAAAGGCGTGTCGACAAGCTTGCGGGTCTCAGCTTCGTGGTGTAAGTGAGTAAGGAACTCTTCATGTGATTGGCCAAAGCCGTCGCCCTTGTCCAAACACGGAAGTCTTGAGTCTTGGTTCCCGAATCAATGGGAGACATGTAAAGACTTCGCCCAGTGAATACTGCGAAAATGATACGACAACATGCGAGTACTCAATTCGAGACCAAAAGTATATAATCCCATCATTTTCCCAAGAGCTCTTCGAATAGTACCATACAACATCACTTACAAACACATCCAAACCAGTCCTAAATCCTCCAAAATGTCTGAACCTCGCGAAACCATCATCATAGTCGGAGCAGGCATCGTCGGCTCCGCTCTAGCCCACTTCCTCTCCTCCTCATCATCATCCTCATCAAACACTCCACGAACAGTCACTCTCATCGACCGCTCCTTCGGTCCCCTCCTCGGCTCAACAGGTCACGCACCCGGCTTCGTCGGCCAATTCAACGAGTCCCCAGTCCTCACCAAACTAGCCATCGGCTCCGTATCAGAATACGCCAAAATCCCCGGCGGCTTCGACACCGTCGGCGGCCTAGAAATCGCCTTCCAGCCCGCAGGATGCGAGCGTCTCAAGGCCAGATGCGCAGCCGCCTCACAGCGCGGCCTAGCCGCCGAGATGTTGAGCCTGGGAGAAGCACATACACTCGCGCCGGAACTCGTCAGAGAAGAAGACGGAAAAGATTCGTCAGGGGCAGGGGCTGCAGTCTTCTTCCCCACCGACGGGACCGCCGACGCATGCAGAATCACATCATTCTACCAAGACTCTGCAAAGAAAGCAGGCGTCAACTTCCTACAAACCTCGGTCGAGAAGCTCCTCTTCACACCAGACGGCCGCATCACGGGCGTCCAGGTCCTCAACCTCGGCTCCGCACAGCAACTCGAAGCCGATAAAGTCATCCTCACAACGGGCATCTGGGCCCGCGACCTCTGCCGCGACCTCCCCTTCCCCGTCCCCGTCATCCCCGTCGGACACCCCTACATGCACGCCCGCACCCGAACCCCCTTGCCTCCCCGAGAAAACTCAAACCCGAAATCAAAATCGACGTCGCTGCCGTTCGTGCGCTGGCCGGAACACCACGTCTACGCCAGAGATCACGGCACCCGCTACGGCATCGGAAGCTACGACCACCCGCCCGTAGGCTGCGCGCCGAACGCGGAAGACGGGACGGCGATTGGGGTCTGGATCCCTGATTTCCGGCAGACGCTCGAGGCTGCCAGAAAGATGCTACCTCCCGCAACCGCGGCGGAGTTTGAGGAGGATGTGAGTGAGAATCAGACTAAAAGCAGGAGCTTCAACGGGATCTTCTCCATGACGCCTGATAACATGCCGCTCGCTGGTGCGGTGAGGTCGGTGCCTGGGTTGCACATGGCTGTTGCCGTGTGGGTTACTCACGCTGCTGGGACGGCCAAGTTTTTGACGGAACTTTTGAATGGGGAGGGGGTAGATCAGGAGACGTTGGAGGCCCTTGAGCCGGAGAGATTTGCTGGGCGGGATTTTGCGACGCTGGAGGAGGAGTCGCTTTGTGGATATAACTCCATCTACAAGACTGTGGCCAAGTAGGCGTAAAGTAATCAGCATACTTTTTTTCTCCAAACCCAAGGAATTTCAAATAAGTATCTCTGTGCTTGAGGTATCTGGCTTGCAATCTGAGTCTTGCTTACGTCAAATCGCAAAACCCATCGTACAGAATCAACCCTCGGCAAGATGAGCCATCTGGCCGACGGTGAATCATGTCCGGTGCCGAACACCATCAACAGATTCTCATAGCCGCCAAGCCAAGCTTCTCGGCCTCTCTTCAGAGGCTACCACATAGAATCCTTCTTACCTAGCGGAAGTAGTTCCCGAAGGAAGACCTTCACTTGATGGTTCACGGTGCTCCGGTGTGCACCGAATCGTGCCCGGCCCGTTGACACCACGGATCAAACGGCCGAAGCCCCACAGTACGGGCCGGACCACTCGGCCATCGACGACACGCGCCGAGAAGATATCGGCAACAGACCTTGGTAGTACACGGTGCTGACAAAACACACGATCTACCAAGTCTAAGATGAAGCATTTGAAGTTGAATCGAATTCGCTATTTAATATAAAAGTGCCAACTTCTCAGTTCCATTCCAATAGGTCCCCTTATCCCGCCATCCAACCTCGTCTTACACCCTCACCTCCAAACATCCAACCCAGCTCTCAAGATGGCCTCCCACGCCACCAAATCACCAACCCCTCTCCCCATCGAACTCATCCAAAACCCAGCAGCAAAGAACGCACCCTACTACACCCCATCCCAATCTCCCCCCTCCGGAACAGCCATCCTCCCCTCCACCACAACCACCACCACCCCCCTCCCAAAACTCTTCACCCCCCTCGAAATCCGCTCCCTCACCCTCCAAAACCGCCTCTTCCTCGCCCCCCTCTGCCAATACTCCGCCTCGCCCCTAGCTGGAAACCTAGCAACAGACTGGCACCTGACCCACCTGGGCGGCATCCTCCAACGCGGGCCCGGCCTAACCCTAATGGAATCCACCGCCGTCCTCCCGGAAGGCCGCATCACCCCGCAAGACCTAGGCCTCTGGTCCGACGCCCAGATCCCGCCCCTCCGCCGCATCACCGACTTCGCCCACTCCCAGTCCCAGAAGATCGGCATCCAGCTCTCCCACGCAGGCCGCAAGGCGAGCACCGTAGCCCCCTTCGTCCACGCCAACGCGACCTCCCCCCCCGAAGCACACGGCTGGCCAGACGAAGTCTACGCCCCTTCCCCCCTCCGCTTCAACGACGCATACCCCCTCCCCAAGGAAATGACCCTCCCGCAAATCGAATCCCTCAAACAAGCCTTCGTCGCCGCCGCCCGCCGCGCAGTCCACGCCGGCTTCGACGTCGTCGAAATCCACGCCGCGCACGGCTACCTCCTCCACCAATTCCTCAGCCCAATCTCCAACGCCCGCACCGACGCCTACGGCTCCTCCTCCTTCGAAACCCGCACCCGTCTGGTTCTCGAAATCACCTCCCTCGTCCGCGCCGCGATTCCGGACACGATGCCGCTCTTCGTCCGCATCAGCGCGACGGATTGGTTCGACGACAGGACAGACCTCGTCCCGCACAGCTGGACGCTCGCCGACTCGTGCAGGCTGGCGCCTTTACTCGCGGAGCGGGGCGTCGATCTGCTGGACGTGAGCTCCGGCGGGATTCATCCGCTGCAGGCGACGAGTATCAAGGGCGGACCCGGGTACCAGGCCGGTTTCGCAAAGGAGATTAAAAAGGTTGTCGGGGAGAGGATGCTTGTGTCGGCTGTGGGTGGGATCAGTACGGGGACGATGGCGGAGGGGTTCCTCCAGGAGGGGTTGGATGTGATCATGTGCGGTCGGTGGTTCCAGAAGAATCCCGGTCTGGTGTACGCGTATGCCGATGAGCTTGGGGTCCATGTCAAGATGGCGAACCAGATTGGATGGGGGTTCGGTGGACGTGGAAAGGGGAAGACAGACGTGAGTGATAAAGAAGAAAGCCTCTAGACTCTATTAGATAGACCACAATAGACGCGGGTAGATTATCCTACTGATGACTCGACTTTTTCGAAACGTTCTTCCGGAGACATGACTTACACAGAGTCACGGTCGAGAATTGTTCAAAACTATTATTTGCCTGCTTTGACTACTGATACACCTCCAAACGCCTTCCTCCCATTCATCGCAATTTATTTCATGTAGGTATACTTCATAAACATTACCAAGGCTGTCAAAAAAAACGGACTGTACCCTGTTTCCTGTAACCCCAGCCGTTGTCGCGTGCCCCCATGTTCCTCTTCTCTCGACAAAAAGAACGGACTTAGACTTCGGTCTCGACATCGGGCTTGCGACCGTTGAGAGCACCCATCTTGGTAATCTTCCGGATCGCAAACTTGGCCTCGTCCTTAGCGAACTGCACATTACGCATCGGACGCCACTGCATCAGACCCCGATGTTGACGGTGCAGGTCTCTGCTCCTGCTCTTGTAGTCCTTGTAGGCGGCAACAGGTCCGTTTCCGTTGCTTTGCTGAGATGCGTCTGAGGGAGCCGCACTCGCGTTGCTGTCTGTTGATTGACGTGTGCCGCTGCTGCTCGCTCTGGTGTCTTTAGTGCTGGCGTCTGTGAGCCCGAGATCCGGCTCACTGCTGTTATCATCATCGTCGTAATCCGTATCAAAATCATCACGTCCCTCCGAGTTCAGGTCTTCCTGATTCTCGTTATCGCCACCCATCATCTGCGTGGGATCTTTTCCAAATGCAGTGCTCCAATCGGTTCCGTCCTTGGAGAGCCACTTCTCTTTCTCTTTCGGGTCGGTCTGAGCTAGGACATCGCGGCCTTGGGTAAGAGACTCGTCATGCAGCTTCTGAACAGCAGGGGGCACTTCGGCTCGGACCTCCTCGCCTCGTACTCCCTCCGCAAAACAGGCCTCCCAGGTCTCGATTGTCTCACGCGAATCGTTATCAGTGACAAACTTGACGTGATCACCATCGGTACCAGTGGAGAAACGACCCTTGAATCTAAGTCGACCAATTTCTTCAATCTTCATGTCAGGGATGTCTTTGAAGTTGTCCTGGGTGATATAGTTCTGTGACAGGCGCAGACCCTTGTCGCAGTTGAAGATGGGAATATCAAAGTCGCGTTCCTCGCAATCCGGGAAGTCCTGGAGCCACAGTGACGCAAAGGCGTCGGCATGACGCTTGCCGGGAGGGTAAAACTCGAAGAAGACTGGGGATCTGTAGCGGTAGCGAACAGGAAGACGGATCTTGTCATGCTTCTCATCGCCACTGATGTCCCAAGAAAAGCCGTC